TTTGCGAGCTCGAGTATATAGTATATATATTTTTTTTTTCTTTAATAATAAAATTACATATATATTCTTAATATTTTATTATTTATTAAGAAAAAATATTATTTTATTTATTTTTTAAAAAATAAAAATAATTATTTTTTTATTTTTTTCGAGTTCGAGCTCGAGGTTTAAATTGTTAGCTCGTCGAGCTCAAGCTCGAGTTCGAGTTCAATAAAACTAAATCAAGGCTCGACTCGATTAGGCCAAAATTCGACTCGACTCAACTCGTTTGCAGCTCTACTTTCCCCTATGTAAACCATATTTATTGATAATATACTTACCCTATATAATAGGAGAGTCATCTATCTTTTGGTCTAAATTATTCATGTCACTTAATGTTATATCAAAAATATCCTTTACCGTTAATTTTTATTTCTCAAACTATTTAAATCCCATTGTTTTTCTCTATCATGAGCTTAGATACAATGACTCACATCTCCTCTTTTTCTCTAATCTCTATCATGATTTTAAATGCAATAACTTCCTCGACAAGGAAAAAAAGAAGAAGAAGTACTTATAGATTTTTGAAATAAGCGTATAAATGTTCTAACATGATTTTATATATAATATCTTATTGTTAAAGATATACTAATTAATTAGTTATACATATTTGGAATAATCATACACTTGGGTGCATCTAAAGCATTAGTTTGTCTTTCTTTCTATATATAAAGTATGAGGAAGGGGTTTGGTGCTAAAATTTTATGTCATCTTTTTGTTTTCCAATTTTAATCTCATAAAGCCAAGATTACTAAAGGTGACTACTTAAAATTTGATGACTCCAACAATTTCCACTTCCAATAACTTCTATTTTTTTCTTTTTGTTTGATTGTCAAAAGAAATCATAACTTTGTTTGTAATAACTTCTAGTGGTTTTCATAAAACCAACTTAACCCATAGGGTGCCCTTCCCACAAGTCTTCCAAAAAGGATTCAAGTGTTTCTAAGATTAGATAACCTTAGTTTTCCTACACTTAGACCTTATAGACCTTATGTTGTAAAGAAGTAGTACTCCTTGTTTATATTTTACAATTATGACTTTGTATTGGAGGTCAGATTTTTGTCCCTCTCCTAATCGTTTATTCTATTTTTAATAGAAACTAGGGTACCCTCCCTCATGTAACCGGTTTGCAAAAAAAAAAAGAAGGTGATATTGGTGAATTTTAGGAGTTCTTATAAATTATTCTAAGTTGTTTTAACTTTTTAGTTGTAACATGGACCTGTGGCATGGGAACCATGATAGTTATTTTATGCAATTTTATTTTCTAATCATGCAATAGTGATTTGTTAATAAATTTCATGATTTTATGCAATATATTTTGACTAATTGTATGTCAAAAAAGTATATTGACATTCATTCGAGTTGGATTGCAAATTGTCTAGAATACTATTGCAAAAATTGAGAACGATTAGAGGTTATTACATTTTTTTCTCTTTAAATGTTTACTAGAAAAAGAAATCTTGGTTAAATTTATTTTTAAAGATTTTATTTGGGGTCTATTTAGGATACAAAAAATTATTTTTCCATTGTAAAGAATTTTGGATGAATTTTAGGAATTTGTTTAATATTTTTGTCCAAATTGATGCCATGAAAGCCATTAAAGAGCCTGTCAATTTGTTTAGTTCTTCTTAATTTTCACATATTGTCTAAGTTCTTATAAGTTAATGCACCTCATTGGCTTACCATTCAAATTGACTAAGACTTTTAAAGATAATGAAGCAAATTAACCATTTTCCCTTTTTCTAACCACTTTTCTTTAGAAAAATTTTAAAAATAAATTGGACTATAGTTTAAGTGTATACTAGTTTTAGAACTTTTAACAAGTCAAATCGAACTGAATACTTAGGGTTCAAACTCTGTTCATATAATATATGAACAGAGTTCAACTTTGGCTCGAACATTAACAAATTATAAATATTGTTCGAATTCAATTTGTTTATTTGTATAAATATTCGAATTCAAACTCAAACTTGAGCTGAGCTTGTGGATTTTTCTATCTCTTTGGGTCCAAAAAACTCCATGGTCAATAAGGAGGGGCTCCCAATTCTTGAGGTGGAGGGGCTAGATACATCCGTAGAACGAGTATCTTACACAGTAGCTAGATATCATTCTCTAGCAGCCTCAAGTCACTGTGAAATTTGGTCATCCTGTGGCTAGTTAAAAATTTAACTAAGGTGGTAAATAGAACAAATGACCCTCAAAGTGTTAAGGGTGAGGCGTTTGAGTAACACATTAGTCTTGACCATTGCAAAATTAATTAGAATAGTTCGCTTTAAAGGAACCTTGCCAATAGTTACCATGAGCGTGATCATCTCCCGAGGTACAACATTTGCCCTCCAAATCTGATGAGCGGCGTTTGGGCAGGGGTTAGCTCATGATCCTTCAATTCCATTTGTATGAAAGAGTTATAGTATAGTATGTTAACAAAACTTCCTAGATCAATGTACACTTTCTTTACGAGGTAATTATATGCCAGAATCTCGATAACCAATGCCTCGTGGTTATGAAAAGTTAAAGGGACTAAATCATTTGGCCCATAAGAAACTACCTTTAATGGGATGTGAACTAGGTTTTATTGAGTCTATGGCAAACTATCGGTAAGTTCTTTTATGCAACTTTTAACTGTCTCCTCTAGCCAGTTTGCCACATATCATATTGATCACCCCAACTAGGTGGCGATCAGGATTGGGGATTGGTTTCAGGGCAATCTATCAGATTCCCTATGGTTTCAAGGAGACTGATTAGCATGTCTCCGATCGTTTCATTCAACCCACTGATCTTTTTTTTGGTCATCACGACGATCTCCACGGGAATCCCAATGCCAATGTTGCTTAACAAATTACCCGAAGTATTCTTATTTGATCAGATTTTTGATCTCTCTCTTGAGATTGTTACAATTATTGGTCTCGTGACCAATATCTTGGTGATATGCACAATACAAGTTTTCATTTCTCCTCTTCTTTTCGGTCATCTTAAGAGCGGGTCAGTCCAAATTTTATTGCTCCATGACAGTTAAAATATGAGATCAAGTAGCATTTAAAGGGGTAAGATCCTTTTCTGAAATAGGAAGCTTATCTTTGCTAATATGATCAAAGACACTCTGGGAGTCACACCATAATCCCTCCAAAGTGTTTGGTACGTTCTTGCCCAGATTTGCCTTCTATTTTCGATCGCGGAGGTCTATGCAACTTCTCGTTTTGATTGATTGAAGTCACCCTAGATGAACCTATTGGTTCTTTCCCAAATCTCATCCAATGTTGATGGATAGTTTTGGTAAAACTCCATATTGAATGCTGTGGTCTAAGCCCATGGATAATGACGGCCGTGGTGACTTGTTCCTTAAGATAAAAAATCTGTATGCTTTCCTCTGCAAAATAGGCTAGGTATGACCTTAATGACTCATTGGGTTGTTGTTTGACATTCATCAAGTAGGTTGAAGTCCTAGTTATGGGTTAGGAGGAAACAAACCAGCGAGCAAATTTATTCACGAGCTCATCCAATGAAGAAATGCTCTCTGGTTTCAATTTTCAAAACCACTTGCGAGCATTCTCTTGTACAAAATGAGAAAAAGTTCGGCACATCACAGATTTCGAGACCCCATACAGTTGGAAGTGGAAAGAAAGGCACGAGTCGAGATTTTCCCCTCAATTAGACTCTGATGCCTAAGTTTAAATCTCATTTTGATAAAATAAAGATGAGATGCTTGATATTAGAGAGAAGTTACATTTTGGGTTGAAGAATGGAGGGTATTTATAGTGATAGTAAGATATACGGATTCATAGGTACTCGAGCCGCTTTTATGGTATAGGTGGCGGTTACAAGTCAGCTATATAGGAATAGGAGTATCAAATAGGCTGTCAAAAGTTAAATAAATGTGTTGGTGATCCATTTTACCTTAAAAATCTCACATAATATAGTAGATTGGCACGTGACACACTATTTAGTAGCATTAAATAGATACATTTTTTTTTAAAATTTTCAGTAGTAGCTTTTGATGCTAAAATCAAGGTTTGAACATGAGATTTCATGTATGGAAGGGGAATGCAATCACCGCTGGACTAACAACCCATTTGTTCTTTTATTAGTAGCTTTGGTCAAGAGATACATGCTACTTGATGGACGGAGTTCCTTTTAAATGTGATGAAGTTTTAGAGTAAGTAGAAAACAAACCACCTATGTTGGATAACTTGTATTTAGGTAGTAATAATTTACGTATTATTCCCTACACATTTTTTTAAAATCAGTCATTTTTTTAATGAAACTTTTGTGTCAATGAAACTTTTATGTATTATTCCCTACACATTTACGTACCTTTCTTGAGCGTTTGTATGAAATTTTTCTGTAACTTACTATAACATTTATAGAAAAACTTTTATATACTTTAGGGATTGGGAATTTTTTTTTTATTATCTTCTTTTTCCATATTCTCTCTCTTCTTCTTTCTCCCCACACCCCCATTGCCCGCCCGTCCACTGTTGGTAGTTGGCCATCACCATCGACGACAACCTCTCCATCTCGTCAATGGGGGTGCCGCTGATTGACGGCGCCAACGGAGGTTGGGACACCGGTGATGACCTGAAGCAAGGAAGGATAATGAAAAAGAACAAAGGAAAGAGGAAAAAAAACTTTTTATGTTTTTTCGGGTTTGTTTGGATTGTGAATTATTAGAGACATTTTTACTGTAGCACTTTTTATGATGTGATATATGTGAGATAAAAAGGTAATTGAGAAGATAAAAAGGTGTGTTGAAAATTGTAATGATGATGTAAGCAAATATATTTTGACAAATAAACCGCAATCCAAACAAAGATGTGTATTTTGGAGTACTTTTAGAGAGTTACTGTCAAAAAAATTATAAAGAAACTTGTTTACTAAAAACAAGCCAAAAAATGTGATGAAGTCCAAACGGAACACGTATTCTTCTGTCCCATAAATAACGTCACAAGAATTGCTACGGTGGATTGTACGAAACATTCTCCAAGAGCTTAATTTCATACCTTAGAACTGGTGTGTCAAACTGGTGAGTGGATTAGTACGTATTCTTCTGTCCTTGGCCTATGATTGTGGAAAACTTCTCAAACCCACCTCCTCGGTAGTCAGGCAGGCCAGTCGCCACACCATCGCACCCCGTGTCTTAGATCCCTCCCCTCTCTCTCTCTCTCTCTCGCTCGCTTGATCAGGCATTGTTTCAAACGCCTCTCGCGCATCTTTTATAGTCCCTTTCCCACCATTTTTCACGGGCACCATATTGTCCCAACACTCTATCTTTTCTCTTTGTTCTAGTTTCTGACCCAGCTGTTGTGTATTGCTGAGTTTCTCTTCCATTCTCTTTAATTATTCGTTTCATTGAAATCTTCCCTCGTATTCCATGCACTGCATATATCAGGTGTAGTAGTTTTTTGTAAATTTTATATGCGAGACTGGACAGACGATCTTGGAATCAAGCTTCAGGCGCAAGAAAAAGGTACTCTTTATGCTTTCTTAATTACAGTTTTTGAGGTGTCTCTGAATTGGGAATTTGGTTTTGCTATCTGAATAGGTTAATTTGTATATATTGTTGTTGTTATTGCTTTTCTAAGTATAATGTTGGGTTGAGATGGAGTGAAGTTGAAGCTCGCATGTCTGCCCCTTTCTGCGATTATCCTTCATTTTAATTGGAGGTTGCAAGACTAATAATATTCATAACAAATCCGTTTCCCAAAAGATTGGTGCACTTCTTGGTTTTTGCTGAACCAACGATATTTGATGACAAAAATTATCGTAATTCATAAGCGTGCGGTTTGTGCTCTAGGTATCTGCTGTTGGCGTAAGAATATTAGGTTGCAATGTATGCGAGAAGAATAAAGAGTAATACTCAGAAATGGTATCTTGTGCTTCAGAGGGGAAAGTATTCTTGTTCTCCTAATTGCCGGGAGTACTCTTCATATGGTTCTTCAAGTTGCATACAAACAGCCGGAAAGTTTAATTCTCAAGGAAATTTGATCAGAAGATATGTGTTAGAGCGTGTCTACCCGTCCTGTGTTGCTTCTGAAAGATTGTACACAAGGCTGCCTGAGAGACCACCTGTTAGCTTGAGATGTGGTTTGTATAGGTTCTACAGCTCCAAAGGTGACGGAAGGAATGCAAGTGAGGATAAACCACATGCATCTGTCAAAGATGGGGCTGCGAATCCGGACAAGGGCAAGATCCAAAAGGGAAAGAAGATTGCAAATGATGTGAGGCGCAATGCACATGCTCGACTCGGCGAAGAAGATCAAAAGGAATGGCTTCATAATGAGAAGTTGGCCATTGAAAGTAAAAAGAAGGAATCTCCTTTTTTGCCTAGGCTAGATAGATATAAAAATGAGTTCTTGCGGCGGATTGTTCCTTGGGAAAAAATTACAGTTTCGTGGGATACATTTCCCTATTACATCCAGTAAGTGATATCATTAAAATGTTGCAAAGTTTCTTTTAATCATTTGTAAGCTCCAGTGATCTGGATTATACTTTTACAGTGACCACACCAAGAACCTTTTGGTTGAATGTGCTGCTTCTCACATAAAACATACAAAGTCTGCTAAAGATTTTGGTGGCCGTTTAACTTCCTCAAGTGGGAGAATCCTCCTTCAGAGTGTTCCAGGTTAATTTGTACTTCAGCTTTTGCTCTTCAACATTCTCTCTGAGATTGTAGTATCAAGGGAATTTGGAGTTAAAGTTTCTAATGATGAAAAAAACACCTGCTGTCATCTCTGGCAGGTACTGAGCTCTATCGAGAAAGATTGGTCAGGGCTCTAGCGAGGGATCTAAAGGTTCCTCTGTTGGTGCTTGACAGTAGTGTTCTAGCTCCTTTTGTAAGCTACAATTTCCTTGCACTTCTTCTTTTCAACTATAAAAAACCAGAATTGGTCTTAATCTTTCCTTTTTTCCTCTTGAGATTATATTCTTAATAATGGGAGACTGGGCCAGTCATCTTTCTGCAGCTATATGTCTATAGATATTTGAAATGGCAAAGGAGGTAAAATGATGTATAAGGACATGACTTATCTGCTGAAAACTTACATCAATTAATGGCATCAAAAGACTTATCCTGCAAGGGTTTAAGCCACCTCCAGAACTAATCTATGTGGTGTGGGGAAACTCAAGTCTTCTGTGCATATACCAAAGTGTATGTGTGGGTACATGATAAGGCCTAGTGTTGTGGCATACTTGATATTTAACAGAGTTTATCCAAATTAATGCCTGTATAGGTTATTTGTCTGGAAAAAGGTAGTTTATGCAAATACATATGTTTTCGTGTCTTGTTTCTGATTAAAATTGGTGGTCTCATTCTTGTGAATGAGCGTTTGGCTAGATTCAGTGGGCAAAGGGCAGTGGCAGGAGGCGAATATCCTGCTTATTTATTTTGTTTTTTGTTTGGTGGAAGGGGTTGGGGTGGCTGTTGCATAGGAAAAAAATTGGATGAACAAAAAGTTTCTTAGTATTTTCTTCTGAATTAGAAACACTTGCATGTTGAGTGGTGCAGATTTCAAAAATAAGGGGGACAAAAGGTAATGAATGAAATATAAGATATGAAATAAGGGGGACACTTAATATTTTCTTAAGTTTTGCTTGTTGTCTCAGTTTATCACCATTGTCGTATCTTATGGTTGATTGCCTGATTTTATGCAGGACTTCAGTGAGGCTTGTTCTTCTGAAACTGAATCAGATGATGAGAATGGAGAATCAGGTGAAGAGTGTACTTCGGAATCAGAAGTTGAAGATGAAAATGATGCGACCAATGAGGATGAATGGACAAGCAGTGGTGAGGCGAAAGCAGAAACCAGTGATGATGATGAAGTTGATCTTCAGGCTTCCGCTGAGGCCTTGAAGAAGCTTGTTCCCCACAACCTTGAAGATTTTGAGAAGGTACGGCTTTAAGGAAATTCCTGTCAAACGTGAACTTAAAATTGATTGGGAAATTTCGACTTCTGATGCAAAAGGAAGGAAAGGATATGAAATACTTTACTTTGCATTAGATGGTTTCAACATGTTTTTTAGTGAGTGTTTGGTGGTGCAGGTCCTAGGTATTTACCTTGACAATTAGTGGTTGTAATCCTAAAATCTTTTCTAAAATTTTAGGCATCTAGTATATGATTAATATGAGCTATTTTCTGCTTTGGAATGTGTAGCTTACGGATTTGAGGGCTTTGAAATTGGCTGCTTTGGCAATTGTATATTTTAATGTTTTTGCAGAGAGTCTCTGGAGAATCAGAAAGTGTCACCGAATCATCACAATCAGAGGCCAGTGAACATTCTGACAAAAGCAAGCAACCTTTCAAGAAAGGTAAAATATGTGTGTTTACAGGCAGCTTAATAAAAATCTAGATTTGTATGTTATGTTATCAAGCATGTCGCACGCGACTATAGTACACTTGTATGGTAGAAATTCCTTTATAAGCTTAGAGATATAGAGTATGTGTTTATATGTGTAATGAATTGTGAATTTGGATTGATATGGTTTTATTGAGTTTTATTTATGATGCAGTTTCTTTGCTGAATTCTTTTTAGGTTATGCTATGCTAGTAAATAACTGATGTAAAATCTTGTTGTGCTTGTTATTGGATTATAAGTCAACCGAGTTCTCAATCAGCCACTTCAAAGAAGACACAACCCTTTTAACTATTATTGGGCTTTGTTTCCACGTTACTTAAAATAGATGGATTTGGGAGATATGTATCATGGTTATGAGCCACTTTGGAACAAGAACGTGTTAGGCCTGTTGTTTACACAGTTGATAGTCCTTTGCTCTTTTATGAGAATGCCTTCCTGTTAGAGCTGAGAATATTAGCTAGTCCAAACAAGGCGCAACCCTTTTAGCCCTTATTGGGCTTTTATTTCACGTGAGTTGATATAGATAGATTTGGGAGATATTTATATTGGTTACAAGACAGTGTGGAAAAAAAGCGTATTAGGCTTGTTGTTTGAGATTGGTGGAAAACAGGAATTGACGCACAGTTGATAGTCCTCTGCTCTTTTATGAGGATGCCTTCCTGTAAGAGCTGATAAAAATTCATGGAAAAGCTGCACTCGCTCTACTGAATAGAAAATGCCGAAGTTACACCAATTCCTAAGTAAAAATGTTTTCTGTTTTTGGTTTAAAATTAGTAGAATATAGGTACTAAGTTATGGATGTAAGCAACAGTTTACAAGTTTATGATCTATTTTAGCATAAAAAAAGTGTTGTCCATATGCACTCATCCAAAAGTTGTGTGTCTGCCAGCATCTCTAGGGGAAACTTGCTTGTGCCCGTATCATTGACCTTACAAATGAGGATGCATGTTTGGTTTAGAGATTTTGTGGTGAGATGTGGTCACAGAGGTGGTGTTACAGAAAGTTGGTCGCAGTAGCATTGGAGGTGTTGAATTGTTTGCTATTGTCATGTGGATAAGATTCAACTATGGGTTAGGACTTGGTTGGTTTTTAGACTGTCTTCAGAAATGGTTGAACAGATACCTATATCGAATGCTGAATGAAGAGGATGTCATGTGGTATTTCAAGTATTAGCATAGGTGTCATTAGGAAACTGTTAGCTTCAGTCATTTATCACTTCCATCTTTTCTTTCTTCAATTCTTGAACTTTCCATAGAATTGTAGTGCTTGTTATTATTATTATTATTATTTTGAATTATTTGCCCCCTAGAATGAACACATGTTTAGAAGACCCGTAAATTGCAGTTGTGTAACTTTTCTTTTTCTCCAAACTCTTTGGGACACAAGGTGGGCAAAGCAAACTATAGTGGAAAGTAAAGCATGTTTTGTTTGATGAACCAAATGGGATTTTCCTTATTTCATTTTATTGATATTATCATTTTCTGCTTTTTATCTGTTCAGCTCGTAACACCTTTTTTAGGTAAATGCTGGGATTTTCATTTTTTATTATTCAGTTGACATTGAATACTTATCCTGTGTATGCAACTGAAAAATTTTGTAATGCGAGTCCTTCACATCTCTTACAACAGATGCATCAAAATGTTTCCAATCCTTTGTCTGAAACAGGAAAAAAAGTTAACATGCGTCATTTTACCTTACGTGTGCAAATCAACTTTTGAAGCCCATCCTATATTCTTTTCCGTCTTCTCATCTGAAAATGTTAATTGTTTTTGGAATCAAACTTGCTGGCACTTTTAGGTTTCTTTCCAGAGTTTTACTTTCATTACCTATAAATTGCAGAATATTTACTGATGAGGTGATAAAGATACAGCTTCATGTTTTATACAGGACAGATCAGGTTTAATCATATGACCACTCAATATTTTATAATATATCTTGCAATGGATAGGTAATTCCACATGGACTAACCGTGTAGACTGGTGCTATTCAGATCTGATAAATTTCTTGATTTATCATGGCTAACTGTTTTAATTTTGGAATGCATATACTATTTGAAGTGTACAAGCAATTGGTAGGCTACATGATAAATACATAGTAATGGATGGATAGAGTTTTTCTACATTCAAAATGTGTAAAATGTATTTTTATATTAATTTTACTGGGACATTGTCTTGTTTCATCCTGCCATTGCTGAATAAAGATGAAAGAATCTTGATTTTGAGAGCGGATTCATGTATTTGGGATGGAACATAGTAGGAAGTATGACAATAACATTCCCATTGTGCTATTTAAATTCGTCATTTCTGGACATTTTATAAGTTTCCCGTAACAATAACTACAAAATTTACCTGTTGCCAGGGGATCGAGTGAAATACAAAGGACAGCTTGTTCTTGGAGCTGAAAAGAGGTTATTACCTTCCTTTTACAATTGCTTTTAAGCACATCTCTGACGAAACATTTTTAAGTTTTCATTGGTCATGGTATATCTGATTTCGATGTTCTTTCTGTATGGTTTGCTTGGTAAAAAAATTACTTATGTCTTATTTCCTGTGCTTTTTCTGGTTTTGGCAAATGCTAAAAGTCGTTTGATGCTTACTTTTTTTCCTATCTGCTGGATTTTGTTGATGAATAGTATTAAGGGATGTGTCCTTTCTGTTCTATTTGGTAATATAGGAAGTATGTCCCTTTTACTTTTTTAGGCTACTTTGTACTTTAAGTTTAAAGTTCTTTACTTCATTTTTGTGCTTTTTGAGAAGACTGAATTGAGATTCTTACACTTCTCTTGGAGATCTCTGGTTAAAGTTAAACCTTTTGGTGGACAGAGTTGGGATGTTTAGCAACAGTATTCGATTTCTAGTTTTCTAATACTTTATTGGGCCTTGCAATGGAAATTTTCACTGTGGTTTGAAGCCTTTGTTTCCTTCATTGCTTCTGAAAGCAATGACTTTCCCATCCTTTTTAAGCTTGACCAAAAATCTATAGTTGATGAATTTTGCATTCTCCGTTTCATTTTTTACTTTGTCTTCTTTGGTGGTTTGTGGGGAAGCGGATTAGCAAGTCAGAATAGGTTATTTTTCTTCTTGTATTCTTGAAAGGCAGCATGAACTTTCAATCTAGTGCACCTGATCAGTGGCCTACAATTAATCACAGGATTGTATTGGGGAAGATAGCAACATCTGATGGTCCTTCAAATGCTTATACTGTTATTCATGGCAGGTGGGTTGGTAAGTCATCCTGATACTCTAGGAGAATGTTGTGTGCTTTTGGTGTTTGAAGATATAGTTCTTTCTTGTGCAGTCTTGATCCCTTATTGTGTTGAAGAACTATGATGGATCAAGAATTGTTTTGGTGGATTCATTGCATTGGGAGTAACTGCAATGCCCTTTAGTAAATACCTTCACCGGACATATTGCTTCTGGTGCTCTTTCTGACCTGGTGGCACAAAGGTCTTTGTTGCGTGCTTTTAGTGAACTGAAGCATAGTTGGAGTGTCATCTGTTTCTTTTCGTCCTATTGGCTTCAATCAACAGCAATTTGAAGAGGATTTTGCACGTAGCCAAACTTTCTAAAAGTCTGGAAATTTTTTTTTTGTGTATACAACAGGAAAAGATCTTCAGTTGTTGAGGAGTGAGTGAAACTAGTATTCTTACCAGTGTATGTCTAAGGCAGAATGAAATCTTGTATTAATGATGAATAAAAATGTTATCTGTTGTAGGATGACATTTTCCTTTTGCGGTTCATCTAAAAGAGAAAGGTACCTGAAATCTTAGGTATTGTGATTCTGGGTTCGTAGACGTGTACTCTTAGTCATCTAAGTTAATACTTCATAATTTGAAGGTTTGAGACCCCGGGATTCTTCTCCTTCCTTTGTGGTTTCTTGATCTTGGTCTCACATAATAGGAATGTTTCATTTTGTTAGTCTTGTATTGCTTCATTTTTATAAATTCTTCTGAGTTTTGTTGTCTGTAGGCTGAAGCTTGTTGTAAACATACATATTTGGTCGTTGCTAAATTATCTTTGTGGGGATTGTTTATGTTACTCAACCTTCTTGTCTCATTTTGGCATTTGGGCTTTTTAGAACTTTTTACTTCAGATAGTAAACAGACGTGGTTACAGAAAAAACTTTGTTTTTGTAGGCCTTTGTCCAGTGGCCAACGAGGAGAGGTGTATGAGGTGAATGGGAATGAAGTTGCAGTTGTCTTGGATGTTGGTGAGACCAATGCAGATGGAGAAAAAGATGAGAAACTCACATCACAAGCCGCAAGACCTTCAATATGTTGGATTAATGGTATGTGTATTGAGTTGATTACTATAGTTACATTCGATGATTGTTGAGTTATGTCATTTTTGTTTTCTCAGAGCTTCATCTCATGTTTTGCTTTTGTTTTCACTTCATGCTGACTGGGTAAATTAGTACTCCTACTGGTGATTAAATTTTTCCTGCGACTTTTTATTCAGCCATTGCTGTGATATTTTGAAGAATCATATACATAATTAACTGTTTTAGTTGCATGGCCGGGGCTAAGGGGATAACTTGTCGAGTACATTCGACATTGTTGCCCTTGAAAGAATTGGAGTGTGAAAGACCGAATTGAAATGGATTGGAGGGGAAGACAGAAGTGAAATGGAAGAGTGGAAGAAGGGGATTGGCTTGGTTGTGGGGGTGGGGAGGAGAAGAGCTTAATACTTGTAGTTGCTGTTTTCTTTCCAGTTTAGTTGCATTTGATATACCACTATTTATTGAATTGATTTTTGTACTTCACTGTTCACATATTTCACTGGTTAGGAAATTGCTTTTGAGTAGCTTCACCCAAATTTTGTTTCTGAACATGCCTAACCACTCCTGCCCTCAGATTTTGTGCATTTCGAAAAAAATTTATCAGAGTAACCTTGAATTCAGAGATCTTGCATTGTGGTGGTGGTTAAAATTCACTTTGCTGCTTACTGCTTCCCCCCAAGGTTGGGTGTACAAAGTCCATAGATACTCAGAGAAATATGAGAAGAACCCTGTGAATCAAGTAATATTAGTGGTCTAACATAATTATCAAGAAGAAAGGGTTAATTATTGGTCATCTCACTTACCTACTAGGGAAAGGATTAGAAATGAAATTTAAGTGTAGAGACTTCAAAAGCCTATGTTTTTAAATGGAGTTGTCCAGACTCTTATTTCAACCAAGTTACAGGACTAGATGAAATGAGTGCTGCAATTCAGCCTCATCTGACAAACCAAATGAAATGTCATACTGCATATTCTTCACAAGGTATGTAGAATGTAAAATAAATTTTCTTTGAAATAGTATAACAATTTCAATGGATTGTAAATATTGAATCTGACTACAAATTTTATAGCATTCAAAGGATTGTATTTATGAAACTTGTATCTTGGCCAAATCTCAGGTGTAACCTGGAAAAAATGGGATTTGGCGAGTCAATTGGTGTAAAATAAATTTGCTTTGAAATAGTATAAAGATTTCAATGGGTTGTGAATGTTGAATCTGACTACAAATTTTATAGTATTCAAAGGATTGTATTTATGAAACTTGTATCTTGTCCAAATCTCAGGTGTAACCTGGATAAAGTTAGCTGAAAAAAATGGGATTTAGCGAGTCAATTGGTGTTATTGATCTCATGAAACAGAGTGCAATATAACAACAGCCTGGGCTTCCTAATTTGTTCATCTCCCAAACACTTTATTGAGTGCCTCAAGTTCAAATGCATTCCCAGCATTGAATTTTTGTGTCAGTATTGTGCTGCTTAACATTCTGAATTAAACATTACAACTTGGGCCCAGACTCTTATTGCACCTAACAATTCAGTTCTTCCTGTATTTACAAATGAGCTTCTTTCCGCAATTGATGGGATTCAATTGAAAGCTTTTTGTTTTTTCTTTTCCTATGTGCAGTTGAGGATCTTGAGCATGACCTAGATGCTCAGTCTGAAGACTGTTATGTTGCTATGCAGGCACTTCATGAGGTACTGCATTCCAACTTATATATGCAATAAATAATTTTTCTATTGTTTGGACTTACCATTTCACATTGTTGTAGGTTTTGGATTCTGTTCAACCGCTTATTGTCTATTTCCCAGATTCATCTCTGTGGCTGTCAAGAGCTGTTTCCAGGTCGAACCGTAAAGAGTTTGTCCAGAAGGTGCAAGAAATGTTTGACCAATTAGCAGGACCTGTTGTCTTAATTTGTGGTCAAAACAAAGTTGAAACCGGGTCAAAAGAAAAAGAAAAATTTGTAAGTTCTCAAAATTAGGTTTCATTGCTTACTTTTTTTTCTTTTTTTTTAATCATTTAATTGGTGTTCTGAGTTTATTTACTCTTTTGCTGGCAGACAATGATACTTCCAAATTTGGGCCGCCTTGCTAAATTGGTATTTACATGACCTTTATTTATTTTTTGACTGTCAGAACTTGTAAAACCTTCTGCTCTAGCTTGAATACATTCTTGTACTGTTCTCTCTCTATTTGTCATTCCTTTTACTCCCTATTCCTTCTCTACAGGCTCAGATTCTTTCTTTACATTTTTTAGGATAAGCTATCTGCTTAGGAAATAATTTTTTCCAAATATCTCCTATGTAAACATAGTTTTTTCAAAATATACCTAACAAACACACCAAAAAATAACCCGAAAATGCCAATCACATACATTTTCACCCCTTCTCCCTCCACCACTATCTCCCCAACCCCCCAAGGCTCCCTCTCATTCCCACCAAACTCCTGCCAGCTCCACCATCCTGCAGCCTCCCCAGCCCTGAACCAGCTTCCCCCCTTCTCTCCTCCCTTTACTGTAATTTGAGTTACTGAGAAAATGTCTGGTTAATGTTTAGATGCTGGAATTATCTTGTACATCGTATGACTGCCATAATTCCTAACTTGATTCTGGTGTAAGTAACAAGGTGTCATTAAGAGATTGCAAGAAAGCCAAGATACTCGTATGAGTGTTCTCAAGGCTTTAATCATTCCTAATACCAGATGTGGTAATAGGAACAAGATAAGACCAATAGTATGTGGAACTTATTCTTTTATTACCAGTGGTCTTAGAATTGCATAAAACCTGGATTTCCACGAGATCATCTCAGCATTGCCAGCATTATTAGCACCTCCTCTACCACTGTAATTCTTGTGAAAATCATCTAGACAGTTACTGAGTTTGTTTGGACAAGCCAAATTTGGTTTGTTTAATTTGTTTTCACAAATCCCAATCACCTTTTTATCTTCCCAATCACCTTTTTATCTCACATACATCACATCACAAAAAGTGCTACAGTAAACATCTCAAATAAATCATCCAAATAAACTCTTATCCAAACAAACTCACTATCTTTCAGAAATTCTTTTATAATACGATCCACTGCTGACAATTAGAAACTGCATCTCCACATTTTCTAGCATCGTATCCATCTGAATAACATTGTCACCAATGTGGTTGTTAAACTTCAATCCCAATCTTCACCATTAATATTACCCTTATTATAGCTTCCATTGTGATTTTCACTAGCACTAATTTACCTTCGTAAGACTACAACCTGGTCTCAATCCCTATTTGATGCCATCAGCTCACTTGAACAGTTATATCTCAAAAAGATGGTGAAGGGCTAGTGATAGGAAAAAAGAAAAGATACTTGCAGTATGCCATGTGTTTTGGAAGGAGATTCACATGTCAGCACTTTTTAGAAATAAGAAATTGACCTTGTTAAACTGCCAACTGACCTGAGATTTCTTCTTTCTCTACTTATCCGATCCTTCCTATTTTATGTGTCGTGACTGACCCTTATGAAATAAAAATTTGTTACCATGTAAGCATTTATAAGCAGATTTTTTACTGTTCCTAGGTTTGTAAAGCCTCAATGAGATAAATGTTCTTTCCATGTAAGACGTTACTTGCCATTTCTTTCAGCCACAGATTTCCAGTGCATTCTGAAATGCATTTGGTTTTGCAGCCTCTTTCCTTGAAGAGACTTACAGAGGGACTAAAAGCAACAAAACGGTCTGTGGATGATGAAGTATGTCAGCTATTTACCAATGTTATGTGCATACATCCCCCAAAGGTATGTTCTACCATGATCACCTGTATTGATGTTTCTCAAATGAAAGATACATATTAGTAGTTGTTTGAGTGCTGCACCTGTAATTTTTTTTTTTCATACATCTTTCCAGAGATGAATGGATTTTACATGTAATCCTCAATGTCAGGAATAATTCCTTGTAACTTAAAATGCATCATAGATTGCTATCCTCGAGAGCTCTTTGTGATAAAAGCTTGTTTCCCTTGTTCAAAACTTCATTTCTGGCTGAGCATTTTTCTGCATGTTAGACACACGTGCTCGTGCATGTACAATCTTATACACTACCATAATGGCCTGCATCTTTCTGCAGAATTGTGATTTTCAGTGAAAGTAAATCTTGTATTTAATCTTCTATAAGTAATTATCTTGTAATTACTAATTTATCTGCTCTATTAAGTCCGAGGGGGAACATAAAATTTTCATTATAGTGTTTTTTGCGATATTATTTCAAGTTTTTAAAGGTTGACTTTAATGCCATGCTGTTGCTAATATGCATTACAAATTGGAATAGGGGATCCTGTATGAGTTTTCTCTTAATTACTTTGTCATATATATCGTCGTGCTTGGGTACTTGTTGTTTGGGTAATGGTATTGCTGAAAAAATCTGTGTGTGTGTTTGGTATTGGTGTTGCCTGTACTCCTATAAGAGTTTTTTGTTGAGAATTGGGATTATGTCCTAAAATGAGTGGGGCTGAAGGGGACCGGGTAAAGCACAGAGAAATAGGACGATTATTTTGTATATTTTTATTTGGACTTACAGATTATGTCCTAAAGAAATCCTACTTGAAGGATTAACCTCTATTACCTGAAATGTCACCAGATCAGACAAAAGGGCTGCTGTCTGGAAAAAGAGGAAACCCAGTAAGAAATATAACCCTTGAATGACTGGTATTCAGTGCAAGGCACGTATTGGACAATCTTGGAGATACTATCTGATGTTGTGCTGCATGTAATGTGGAAATGTCGGACACTTTTTGGGTATACATATAGTTATCATGGAATATAGTTGATTCCAGGTTTGTCAAATTAAGAAAGGGTTGATACAATCACAAAATGCTACTTCATTCAGATGGGGTAAAGATATCATTTAAAATCATGACAAACCTAAAGATATTTGATTGCTGATCTTCTTGTTATCTGCAATGGAAAGGTCTAATGCTAGTTTTTGTTGGAACTTTAGGATGATAGTACCTGAATCTTACGCGTCTTTGTATTCTGAACATGTGTTCTATACCCTTCAAAAAACTGCAGTTTCTTGTGATTAGTTATTAAAAGCATTATTGATCTGCTGCATCTGATATCCGAAGGCCAAAATGGTTGTAAGCTTTTGCGTCCCTCGTGAGGACAACCTGATTTACAAAATACTCTTTTGTTAGTGTTCATTCTCATGCCTTCCCATCCTTGTTTTCAGGAGGAAGATCTCATTAGAACATTCAATAAACAAGTTGAAGAAGACAGGAGGATTGTGATATCTCGAAGTAACTTAAACGAATTGCATAAGGTAGTGACTTGTGCTGCCACTATCCTTTTTGTCTTGGCATACTCGTCTAACAATTAAAAATCATTTTCCTGTACTTGCGGTATCAAAAACCAAATCACAAGCTTCTGATAGAAAATGAGCCATTGAAGAGATTTAAGTTCCCATTTCAGGATTCATTTTCCTAGAACCATGGCAAAAATAATCCCTTGCCTCCATCTCACCCAAGTGGATGTTCTCTTTTCCTCATAATTTGAGCAAAACACCAATTTAGTCCCTAAACTATTCTGCTAAAGCCAAACTAGTCCCTAAAATTTATCATGAGCCAGTTTAGTCCCTTAACTACTTTTACAAAGCTGAAATAATCCTTGAACACTATTATAAGCCAATTTAGTTGCTTAACTATTTAAATAAGTCAAAATAATCTCTCTCCTATATTACATGGCCAATTTGGTCCTTGTTTGGCTGATCTACCCAATTTATCAAATTTCTGCATCGACAACCATGGGCAAAATAGGAAATTCAGCCACAGCACTTGTTAAAACAATAGAAAAACAGATATTTGTTGAGAAATCGGCAACAAAATTGAATCGTATGGGAAGCCAAAAACTTAAACTTCTTTCAGCTTTATTTCTTAAAAGAGTAATCATAATGCTAGCACATTTTTTTTGAGCTTTTTGCATAGTCCTGTTGTGTTATTTTCCCTTTTCTCCTATTGTTTTTTTTTGGGCATCAGCTCCATTTTTTCACCATAAAAAGCTCTTTTTTTGTTACTCTGTAGATGATTCAATTTCATTGCCGATTTTCCTATAATTATCTGTTTTTTATTGTTTTAATAAGGGCTATGGATGGATTTCCTATTTTATCCCTGATCATCGTGTGAAAAAGTTGATAAATTGGGCGGATCAGCCAAATAAGGACAAAATTGTCCATGCAAATATAGGTGAGGGACTAGTTTGGGTTAAGTAAAATAGTTGAGGGACTAAATTGGCTCATAACTGTTGTGGCTTTGTCAAAATAGTTGAGGGACTAAACTGGCTATTTTGGCTTTAGCAAAACAGTCTATGGACTAAACTTGTGTTTTGCTCTCATAATTTTCGAAATTTCTATTTAAGATGATTTACCTATTTGTTTTTTTATGTAATCATGTTAGTCAGTGTACGAATACTTTATTAGATTGTTGGATTTAGTTAGGAGCTATTGTCTATTTCAGGTTCTTGAGGAAAATGAGCTATCATGCATGGACTTCTTGCATGTAAACACTGATGGTGTAATTTTGACGAAGCGGAGTAAGTTTTAACACGACTGTTTCTATTTTATTGGAGACTCTGCTTGTTTGTGAATATACGCTTAATTGTTCATGGTTGGGAAATCTGAAATCGCTTTTAAACATTAGCTGCCAACATTTTTTTATTCCAAATTCAAACCAATGGCTATTGTCCTCTTCAAATTCAACTAAATTGTTTCAGAATGATTCAAATCTCCCTAGTAGGATTTGAAATTCTGACCAAGATTATGATTTACTTTCCTTGTCTGTTTTCTTTCATTTCCTTGGATGTTGATGTGGGGATGTTCCATTGATGCTTGAATTCTCAAGCAGAAGAGTGGCAACAATATGCATCCATTTTTTAACAAGAAAATTGATTGGTTGTAAACTCAAACTTCCATGTGGTCATATATTTTTTTTTTGTCAAAATGATAACATTTGTATTGATTTAAACTTGATAATACAAGAGCACTTTACAAAAGGAGCTCATTGCTCTCATAATCTATTCTTGCTAGATCTTTAATCCAGCCAGGGAAACATGATTCCCAATATACATCATTAACTAGCTTCAAGGCAAACTTTGCTAGCCTATGACACACTTCATTCCCTTCCCTATGTATAAAAGAGAAGTTGCATTGCTCAAAAAACTCCCTCAGTTGTTGTATGTCCTCCAGTATCACAGCACAGTTGCCTCAAAAAACTCCATGTGGTCATATATGCTTTATTTAGTTTGCCTCAACTGTTGCACTGTTGTTATAATTTGGCACAGCAGTGAAAAGCCTTATTGCTTTGCAGCTTCTCCCTGTATACATTTGCCTTTTGTCTGTTAATGTATCTCATGAACTGTTTGATATGCTCAATATATTTCTACACCTTGCAGCATATTAAATTGCACAAACTTGATGTTCACTTGTATGAACTTTCCATTATCTGAATCCTGAGTATTGATTTTTGAGTATGGGGGAATATTGACAAGGGATTGATCTACACGGAGGGAATGGATGGAGTAAGCCTTTTGTCACATTATCATAACAAGATAAAAGTTAAATATCACTTTTGATGTTGTTTTGTAATGTGCTTCAAATTCGATCAGTAATGGTGTATCCACTTCCCTCTTTATGATGTTCTACTAGGATTTATCCAATGTATTTGCTGCTTTAGAGAAATACAAGGTGTTTGATGATGAAGAAACCTGACATAGATTTACAGCAAATATAAGCAAAGCAAGGCATCTTTAATGTTTAGTCCTTACGCAACTAGAAAGTTTTTGCTGCCATTACTCTGATGCATTTGGATACAGGAGGGTTTTTTTTGTACCAGTATTATTTGGCAAAACTTTTCTCAAGATTCTCTAAATACGTTTTCATACAACCACCATTGTATTTCACATACATCACATCACCAAGAAGTTGCTACAGTAAATAAATAAATTTTTGCAATGTAATCCTCAATGCAAATACAGCTTATGTTTTGGCAAGCTTTGTCATTAACTCACTCTTTCTCTCTTTAGTGTTCTGTCTCAAATGTGGCAAGTCCTGGCAACTATGTTTCTGTTGCTCAACTTTGAATGAGTTATTTAATAGAAACTGAAATTTGCTGACATTTTAGTGTTGCTTCTATAGTTTTTCAAATTTGTTGAACTATACCTACTATTTTGGCTACAGAAGCCGAGAAGGTTGTTGGTTGGGCAAAAAACCATTACTTGTCCTCATGTCTCCTTCCTTGCATTAAGGCGGATCGGTTATATGTGCCTCGTGAAAGGTAATTATTTTACTTTCTTGCTAGCCGTCTTTTCAGTTTGGATATATGACCATAGAGTTATTTGTGTCCCATTTTTCTCCTCCCTATGAAGCCTTGAGATTGCAATTTTGAGGTTAAAGGAGCAGGAAACGGTAACAAAGAAGCCTTCACACAATTTAAAGGTATTTATCTGCACAAATTTGTTGACTACATTCTCGGCTTTTGGTAACTTAGTCGCAATGTGCAGACCTTGGCTAAAGATGAGTATGAGAGCAACTTTGTTTCAGCAGTAGTTCCTCCAGGTGAAATTGGAGTCAAATTCGATGACATTGGTGCCCTTGAAGGTGTTAAAAAAGCACTTAATGAACTTGTAATTCTCCCTATGCGGAGACCTGAGCTTTTCTCTCAAGGGAATTTGTTGAGGGTAATTTAATCAAAACAGCTATCTGTGTTATATTCCTTTTATGCTGCTTTGGTGATTTAACTGTTTATGATTTATCAGCCTTGCAAAGGCATACTGCTTTTTGGGCCCCCAGGTACTGGGAAAACCCTCCTAGCTAAGGCTCTTGCAACGGAAGCAGGGGCTAATTTTATCAGCATTACTGGTTCCACACTTACATCAAAGGTAATTATAAACAATCATGTCACTTGTTCATCTGGAATGGATATCTTTAGAGGAAAAAAAATGCATGAATCAATACTTAATCTAAAGAAGGTGGTGATTTTTCACTTTTGACTCAGTTATGGGGGTCTTTCTAGCTGCTTTGCTATTTAGAACTCCTAACGGTCCTATTGATATACTGTTCTGCTCTTTTTGTCGAACCAGCTTAATGGAGAATAATCTCCATTGTGCTGGATATGGGAATAAGATATTGCCTTATGCTCAATCATGTATAACCAGCTGAAGTGATTCTGTTTTGATTCCATTTTGTTGTTTTACTGTTGTCCAACACTATCACCAGTTTGTCAGAGAAATCCGATAAGAAAAATGAAAATACATCTAAAGACAATTTGATTGGCGCAAAGATATTGTTCTATGTATTTATTATTCACCTATATCTTTACTATATAGTTGATGCAGCACCAGGCTGCTGGTTGGATGAAAAATGTGCACGATTGCTTCTCAAGGGATGCAATGCACAGAAAACAATAATTAGGCAGTAATCAAGGACTGAAGGAGGGAAGACAGTGCAGTAAAAGTAGGGAAAGAAGAAGAAAGGAATAGGATTATGTGCCACACCTAAATCTAGAATGCTTCCACAAGTCTGCAGGGAAAAAATGAATTCAAATCTGTATTTCTTGGAGGAAATGAAGAACATCATCTATAGATGTTTCAATACTTTCCTCTGTTAACTAGAATATACTTCTTGCTGTAAGGTCTAAGCCAAAATCTATTAGAGGCATAAGAGGATTTCTAATAGGCTGGGTGTATGAGGCACAAGAAACAATAAACTCATAAATCAAATTTGTGAAACTGCAAAATAACCAATCGATTGTATGTGCACTTGCATACATCTTATCTGTTTTCCATGTTGAGGGTTTTCTCTGAGTGAGCAATTGTGGTCTTTGTTTTCCTTGTCATGGTGCAGCTCAAAGATGGGTTTTTTGCTCAATCAAAATAAAGCATGACCAATTCTACGGAGTACAATGGGACCTTCATAGACTCTAGCCTTATGAAAAATAAGAAGATAAAGAAAAAGCAATGTATTCTCTTTTTGGCGAATTCACAAATTAGACATCAATGCTGCAGATTGTACTATTGTGTTGTATTTGGGTGCTGTTTTCAGGAAGCCTCAACCTGGATTTTCTGTTTAGCATTCATGTTGTGTCATAACCTGTTTGCTAACCATTTAAAATGACATGACCTACTTAACATGTATATTTATCAAATTATTTGCCCACTTGCATGATAACTGTACGTGTCACCTGCTTGACCCATAAAGGGCTGTAAACCCCTTTGATGCATATAATGCTTGACTTTTTAACCTATTAACTATTTGCTCAATCACAAAAAAGAAAAATAAAGATAAGAATCAGAGTAGAAACAAGGACTTTTCCAATACAAGCAGCAGAAAATTTAAGGGAGTTGTTATTGGTTCGCCAACAAATTAGTAGAAACCAAACTTAAGTTTTTGATTCCACACTTTCAAAACCGATAAGCAATGTGAAAGCAATTTTCTCGCTAAGTTATTAGCAGTTATATTAAGGTAACAGAAACTCAAAGTTTGTGCTGTTTTTAAGCATTCCAGCATAGCAAACCAGCGAAGTTACAAGTCTTGATTCTCCAATGAGCTTTTCAATGCTCATAATTGCCGCTAGTTGACATCATGTTCTTGTAAAGTATTATAGCACTAGTTATTTAATGTTTGCTGCTTTCAAACCAGCGAAGTTACAAGTCTTCATTCTCCAATGAGCTTTTCAATGCTCATAATTGCCGCTAGTTGACATCATGTTCTTGTAAAGTATTATAGCACTAGTTATTTAATGTTTGCTGCTTTCAAACCAGCGAAGTTACAAGTCTTCATTCTCCAATGAGCTTTTCAATGCTCATAATTGCCGCTAGTTGACATCATGTTCTTGTAAAGTATTATAGCACTAGTTATTTAATGTTTGCTGCTTTCTTTTACAGTGGTTTGGAGATGCTGAAAAACTTACGAAGGCTCTTTTCTCCTTTGCTAGTAAACTGGCTCCTGTTATTATATTTGTTGATGAGGTGAGAACTATGACATGGATTCTCATAAATTTATTGGACTTTTTATATCGTCTACTTACTGGTTTTCATTCTTTGGTTGTCACCTGTGGAATTCATTGAGAATATAGTGTTAAGAGCTTTCAGTCCGGCTGAGGCATCACTATGTCAAAGGTTACCAGAGACTATTTATATGTATTAAGTATTTTTACTCTGATCAACAATTTGACATTGCTTGTTCTACAAGTATAGAGAATATCAGGAATTTGCACAGAACATTATTGTGGAGGAAATATAATAAGTTATGGTAGAACTGCCCTTCTAAAGTTAGGTCAAAAAGCACTTTGCCATCTCTATTTTTAAAATGCCACCACCTAAATTATATTCTTTTCTATGTTGGCATCTAAAGTTTAAGAATTAGATCCAACCTCACATTATCATCCTTGTATCAGTACAATTTTTAGTCAGAATTAGATCCAATCTCTCATTGTCATCCATGTATCAGTACAACTGTAAGTCACATGGTCGCTAAATGGGTATTTGTGTGCTATTTTGTTCTCTCTTTTACTGTACTCTTCTGTTTTTTCCCACTGGGTTCGTTCCCCCTTCCAAATGACTTCTCCAGAAAGAGACTTTGTCGTAGCAATTACATTAGGTCATTTTTGTAACCAAGTTTCAGGGAAAGCAAATGCTTGTTGCATATGTCTTGGATTGCAAGAATTCTTTCTTCTGAAAAAGGGGAAATAACATTGCACCTTGTTTTTGTTACTATTGTTTCTTTTGAAGTATCCTAGAAGTGCATTGAGTTTTTCTGCTGCTAAAAGAGCAGGCATGTAGGGTCATTGTATAGGTTGCGTTTTTGTCCATTGTAGGGTTTTGTTCGGGCAGGAAAGTTGCGCGGCGAGGGCTTTCATTAATGCTGTGGAACTTGAGGTTATGGGCAGAAAATGGAGTTTGGAGATAGTTAAGTATGCTACAAGGATGGTTGGTATTTGGTAATGACTAGGTGTGAAAAAAGTTGTTTGGAGTTGGGAGCTAATCCTTTTTAGTTTCAAGGAATGAGTGTGACCAGGGAAGCAAAAATGGGGTGTAAGAAGGTAATGAATTCATTTAGCTTGATAATCGTATTGGTGTTTGATGGCAAATGCCAAAAAACTCAACAGATCTATTGACAGAGATGTGAAATTGAGCTAACTTCTGTATTTGATGCCAGATTGAAAAATCATGTTTTCTAGATGGGAAAATGGGATTTGGACCACATAGTGAAACGGAAAACTAACATTTGCCCCTAGAATTATCCTCTAAGAAGGTATCAACAAAATCAACGATCATAGTTATCTGTTGTCAAGTGCCATTGTGGTCTACAATTATTTCAGTCTACGGTTAATTATTACGGGGGTACTGGAAGGTTTTTGCCTTTTGGTCAATATGGACAGCAAGTTTCTCTATACTGCTGCTTAACTTTGTAAATCATTAAGTATACATGGTCATAAGCAGGTTAAGCCTTGTATTAGTTTCCATAATTTTATCTTTGTCTGGACTCAGAATTATGTTTCTTTTGCATCTTTTATTCAGATAGATATTCAAGTTTTCTCTTTTGTTACATCCTTTCTTTCTCCTCTGTGTCTGCCGGTACTTCTGATTGCTTTTGTGGATTTCTATTGGCAATTATCTGTCTCCTTACCTGCAGCAATGGAAACAGAAACTAGTTTTTATTTACAGCCTGTTTCTCTTCTCAAATTTGACTTCCTAAACTTTATTGCTCCTGAAGTTGCAACTTATTAAACTTCTCTTACCTTGTTTACTATGTATTTGAGCTTTGTCAACAAACTGCTTATCATTTTCCATTATGGAATCTAAGCTCCATTATATGTTGAGAACTGACTGAAATCTGTTTGATAACTGAAAGAGAGAGGCGTGGGTAGTTATCTCCCCCTGTATTTTGGAAATTTCCCGTATCCCTTCAGATTGCCAAATTTAACAAAATTCTACTTTTACAAACTCGCATTTATGCTAATGCTAACTAGACAAATACATAATGTTAATGCGTAATTTTAACTTCTGTTTTTGAACTATGTTACGCTGCTGGCCATAGGTCCTGTCTGCCACTGATTGCAAGTATAGAACTGCATGTTTTGTTCCCTGGTGCGATGACATAACAAAAGAATCATTTTCTCAAGACTGTTTGTTAGTTCGATAAATACTAGGTTGTTTTCCTCTCTTGATGTGTTAATATCAATAATGGATATCAAGAAGGCAGAGTGTGACTTTCTGACTCTCATAAATATATAAACATACACAAGTGCATGCACAGACATATGGATATCTATATGGCCACACAGAGTAAATGGTGAATACCTACATTGCAAATTGTTCAAGCTTCTTCGTCTACCTTTCAAGGTTTTGAGTACATTTTTTAAAAAAAGTGAAAATTATGGTGGCATCAAGACTTGACTTCATGCAGGTAGTTCAATGCTTTTGCACAGCAGTAGCCAATAAGGGTTATTGTTGTTATATTTTTTATTGCCTCAGGTCTACAATATGAAAGGAAAAGTATCTTCTCGCTGTAGATTAGGTATTCTTACCCATTGGTCATATTTCTGATCTCCATATGCAATACTTGTATTTGGAAACTTTAGAACCCTTGCCCTGCCATTAGAGTCTTCCATTTCCCTGTCTCTACACCAAGCCTACCCTCTACCCTCCTCTCCCAGTTTTCAGGTTTGCTGATACATAGACATGAGAGGACTGTGCTTAGGAACTTTTCACAGTTTAAAACTTCATTCTTCTCTCTGTCTTTTGGACCCAGAGAAAGAAATCCTTGGTGTGGTATCATTAAATAGAAATTCTCTCAAAATAGTTACGTTCAATTTCCAGAACCTCATGTCCTCTAAGAAGTTCATGTGCACTTATTGCTAGCACAGTTCTTTTCTAAAATTTACTCTTTATATCTCCATAAGTTGCTTGTAATTTGGTCTTATTATTTTTAAATTATTGTCAAATTCCTGCTTCAATTGATTTGTACTTGCACAAGCAGGTTGACAGCTTGCTTGGTGCTCGTGGAGGTGCTTTTGAGCATGAAGCTACCAGAAGAATGCGGAATGAGTTTATGGCAGCCTGGGATGGATTAAGATCAAAAGAAAGCCAGAGAATCCTCATCCTTGGAGCTACAAATCGACCATTTGATCTTGATGATGCGGTTATTCGCCGCTTACCCAGGAGGTAAGTTTGTCAAAATGGTCTTTGTCATAAATATGCTGTTGAGCTACCTATTGAAATACAACTATAAATTGGTACTTTGGCTATTTTGTGCTATTTTGATGACAATTGTTGGTTTCTTGGTTATTCCACTATTTATTTTTTTTAAAAAAAAAACTACATATTGGAGGGAAGGAAAATAAAAAAAGAAGAAAAGTAGACATCTAGAAGTCTATCTATGATAGCTTTATCTTATTTATGAATTTTTGGAAACTGAATAGGATATATGTGGACCTACCTGATGCTGAAAATCGTCTCAAGATACTTAAGATAATTCTAGCACAAGAAAACCTGGAAAAAAGTTTCTTACTTGAGCATCTTGCAAATGCAACAGAAGGTTATTCAGGGAGTGATTTGAAGGTAATGTTTTCATTCTTGTAATTATCTGAATATTGATGCTTGCTTTACGCTGTCTTCACCATCTGCTTAACAAATTTTGCAGAACCTCTGTACTGCTGCAGCATATAGGCCTGTACAAGAGCTTTTAGAGGAAGAGACAATGGTACATACCATTTCTATCTTGTCATTTTTGTTAAGCATATTGCTTGCATGATTGCTCTTTCCCCAGAAATGGGAGAGCATTCGCCTGAAAAGTTTGGTGTTCTGATTTGTGTTTGCTAAACCTGGTCCAGTAGGCTTTCAGTTTTCTCTCTATTCCTTGGGAAAGTTGTTTCTTCACTTAGATAATCCTACAATTCTACCTGTTCTGATTATCATACGCTGTAAATTGAATAAGCTTGATTTTCAACTTCTCATGGAATGGTATAGACTGCCTCTAATAGAATTACAAAAGGCAACTTCAGTTGATGCATCATAAACAGATTAGTGCTTGGATAGTTGAATCATCAAAATAATTGTAAGTGGACTGGACATGACTGTTTATAGCAAGAGATGATTTGTCTGAGATAATTCATAATAGAATCTTCTTTATTTCTTGGAAAATGTCTTTAGTTATAATGAAGCTAGGGCATTCATGTTTTATTGTAGAAGTAGATTATGTGAAAATCTTGGAAGGTATATGAGAAACTATATTTTCAGTCTGTCATTGTGCCTGTTGGATGCTGTTACTAAGGTTGAGCACTTTGCCTAATCTTGAAAAATGTGCTGACCATTTAATTTCCTGTATTCCTGCCAAGTCTTTTTTTTTTTTGGTAACTTTCTTGAATATCATATGGTCAAACTGTTATTCCATCCTATCTTGTCATCAGATTTTTATTGTTATGCAAGGAAAATGTGATGGTGGTATTAGAAGTATGGAAAGGGGGCCATATGCACTACTAATGTTCTGCAATTACTATTGAATATACATATCCTCTGCACATGTACTTTGTATTTGAGACATTAAAGGGGAAGTAAGGAAAGGCAAAGAAGATTTTTTTTTGGGGAAACTAGCAAGTATACCCTTTTTCCTTCCACCAAAATGGCAGACCTGCGTATTCTTTGGTTGTTATAATTGTAAATTTGTTATTACTGTGTGCTTGAAATTGAGAGTGATTGTACATGCTTTTAATACTTGTCAACATCACAGGGAGGCAAAAGTGGCTCTAGCTCAGTGTTAAGACCACTCAATCTAGAAGACTTTATCCAGGCCAAGGCAAAGGTAGGTCATGATAAATTGTATTACATCTTATTGTGAACATCCAACAAATTCTGAAAAGAGAGCTACTCAGGTAGATGAACACTTCTAAGTGCATACGGTATATGCCCAATAAATCATGCAATTGAAGATAAAAGTTTTTCTTTTTTTTTTTTTTGGGGTACATTTTTTATCTGAGAAGCAAAGAACTCCTTTGAATAGTTCATTTATTTTAGTATTCCTGGATTTTTTTGACCAGGTGTCTACTTATATGTCTCCACAGCAATTAGTTCCTAAACCCTCACTTCCCCCATAGTGTCCTGTCTGGAAAGTAACACAGAGAGTAAAAAAATCAACCAGAATGCAGCCAAACTTAATATGGACTTTTGCAAAATGCACCGGGATTTGCAAGGCAATTAAGTAATACTGTCAATCAGAAGTTTGTGTTTAGATTGCATAATGTCATCGGTTGGTGATTTTAATGTTACTTTCTCTTGATCTTGGAATGCTCCTCTTGGAAAATGAATGAAGAAGGAAAATTTTCTGAATGACTTTTCTCGGATACCCTCAGCATGGATTAAGACATATAAAGCATTAAGAATGCATCATTGAATTGAACCTAATCTATGAAGCTTTGGAACTACACTATGTAAGCTTTGGAACACACATTTGAGAGTGTGTTTGTGTGTCTATGTCAAAACACATGTAGGTTAGAATTAACCATGTTGCACTCTTAATGCTTTTTCGACTTTTCTCTGTCACCCTCATCTTTTATTTTCAATAAATATTGCCTCCTGTTTGTTTGGCGTATGCCGCTAAAACTAGCTAAACTAAGGGAATCATTATGCACGTGAAGTTAATCATTATAGCTCCTTGTGCATACTGTTTCCAGCATTTGTCTTTTATCATTATTCATGAGAAGTTTGCATGGTGAAGAATGAATACTATAAGTGAAAATTATGTTTGAAGGAAGCACTATGAGAGTGATTGTAACTCAAATGTTGGCACTATTGCTTGGTCGAGAGTGGTTATGAAATAAGTCATATGTGCTATATGCACTATTTTCTTGTCATATATGCTATACTCGCAATTTTCTTCTCCAAGGCACCAAAACTTGCGCCCGGGCACATATTGAAATTTTACTTATTAGAAGCCAATGGAATAGCTAAAGAAGTAAGGAATAAGTAAATGATCGAGTGAAATAAATAATCATGTGACTTTCGGAGGCAAAGTTGCACATGAAGGTTGTGTATGATGCTTTATGGGGTTTCTAGGGCTCTTGTATCAAATTGAATTGGGTAAAACATGTTTTGCACAATTAACTGCTTCTATCAAATGGTTGTGATTTCATTTTTTACTTTACGGCCTCAACATTCAAAAGCATAGACAGCTTTCAGATGCTCCAAAGTCAGGAGTGGCGACCAAGATTTTTCCGATCTTTGTTTAACTTTCTCAGCGCAGGGAACTTGATGAGAGTGAGCAAGAGAGAACAATTTGCATATGGATTTTCTCTTTTAATAGATCTTTTCTTTTCTTCGTTTTCTTGATATTGAATTAATACCTTGATGCTTGTATGTTGGGTTTTCAGGTGGGCCCTTCAGTTGCATATGATGCAGCTAGCATGAATGAATTGAGGAAGTGGAATGAACAGTATGGCGAAGGTGGAAGCAGGAGAAAATCACCATTTGGTTTTTGAGAGAAATTACAATGGATGGACAAGTTTGATGAATTGATTTTCGGGGAGAGAAAGCATAAGTTGCCAGATAAGAGTTATTCTGTTCCTTAGCTACCATCGCTCTCTTTCACTTCCTCAGCTCGTAGCATAATAAGAGAGATTGCATTTTGACATAATAATGTTCTGTAATGTAGTACTGATAGGTAGTGGGTAGTAGAATATAATAGTCTTAAATCTATTTCTGTATATTTTCAGAATTTTGTAAATTTTTTTATAGGTAATGTTAACATATTCCTTTTTAGCTGACAACGTACTTAATCAGCAAATCATGAATTGAATCCTTCTAGAAAGGACTCCAGAGTTTTGCAATTTTTCTTTTTTTAAGTTCATGTTTACAAGATTGAACCCTCTTTTTCCGCATGGTTTTCCTTATTTCATGTTAAATATGGAGCACCAAATTCTTTGTGGGGAATGTGTTGCTGCAGAAATTGTTTATATTGAGCACCAAATGATATCGTAGCAGGTTCTCTACTTCTGGCAATTACGCGTTAGTCATGTTTTTTCCAGTTTAAAGAATTTACACGTTTGATTATATTGTTCATCCATGACTTTTCATGCAGACGACGAGTAACTTTACATGGTATATTTCTTCGATGCGGACAAATAACGGCTAAAGTTTGTGTGCAACTTCACAAACAAATATGTTGAAAGAATCCAGGGCCATAACCTGTGGATATTTCTGACAAGCGTGTATCAAATAATAGTGTGATTATTGAGCAACTGATGACCCGTTTCAAAGCAGAATATACTGTTTATACGTAGTCCGGTAAGATTAAAGAAGCCTGGTATGGCTTCATACGCCCCCGACGGGTTGCTCGGGTGGTTGTGTAGCCCTCCTTAGGGTGAGACGGCCTGAGTTCGATTCCAAACTCAGCAACCCGGCGTAATTTCTTGAGGATCGGTGGGGCCCGCTCTCCTCGGGGTTGGGGGACTAGTTGGGTGTAGGCCCGGACACCCCCAACTGAAAAAAAAAAAAAAGGGTATGCTTCATACTATTTATACATTTAGTATAGAGTAGGAATAGAAGTAGAATAGAAAAACGCGTTCAATATAGAGTAGGATTACAAGTAGATTAGGAAAGCCATCAAGCTGACAGAAAAAAAAAAAACCCACTGATTTTCGGCTCGTTTGTAGATGGAGGGTTAGAAAGGATGGTGCTTCTTGAAAGTGATTATGTACAAACTGAACTCATATGGCCTAATTACACCATGAATCAACAAAATGGTAAGATGTGGCTGTATTAGAATATAGACATTTTAGGGAGATTTCGGACTCGGTGATAAGAGGTTCAAAAGGCTAAGTTTATGTAAATTAGAATATTTTGGTTTGCACATAAAAGTTTTAATAAATAATACCTTAACCTATGAAATATTAAACAATTTTTAGCTATCCCTTCCACCTTCCCGCTTCATAAATCCCACCTCTTCCTTGCTTAAAAATTTAAAAAAAAAATAATTTTTGGCAACTGTTTACTGGTACAGACTTGCCTTACCAAAAAAAAAAAAAATTATGGCACAACACATAAAACATGTCGTATTAAATTGTAATAGATTTAAAACCAAATTATACTAGATTTTAAACCTTGCACTTGCATGGTTGACATAGTTTATAGCAATTATGAAAAAAATTTAATACTTATCTAGTAAAGAGTGTTTAAACCCTACATCTTGCTTATCTTGCAAGTCCATATTGATTCCACCATAATTGATTAACTAAGGCAGAATTTAAAAAAGAAATAAAGAAGGCATAGCAAGGAATGAACTAATTAACTAAATTAATGTAAATTGGAAGAACATACACATGCGTTGTACTTGTACATTCCCATGATCTTTTTGGTACAAAATTAAACCCACATTAAAAAAAAAATCCAATAAATAAAGTAATTAAGAAGGCATGGAAAAAAGTAAGATTTTATCATGCATTCATATGGTCAACAAAACAACACGCAAAAGCATTCAATGAGTACCCATAGTACCCTACACCTGAAAAACCTAAAAAGGTCAGCAAAATTTTTTAAAACCCATAGTACCCTACAAGTTACAAAACTGATGTATCAAAAGAATCACTAAATCAGGAGGCATAAAGTTTCTCAAAAAAACTGTAGATGAACCAAATAATATTTGAAATGATTGACATCATTACTGACTAATACATTTTATTACGGCAGGATAGCATCTCAAATTTGGGGTTAATTTGATATGAGAATAAGATTTTCGATTTTGTCAATAAGGATTATTTTATATTTGAATTTTGTCAATAAAAGGTTTATCTATTCATGATAAACAAGAAAGATAATGTTGCATAAAAAAGGTAAATTCTCTTATAAAATAAAGATAAATTCTAATTATAGAAGAAGATAAAAACTGGAGATTATGAAAAGATAAATTTAAAAAGATAGGGGAAGATAAAAATCGGAGATTATAAAGAGAAAAATTTAAAAGATGAGGTGATTCTTTTTTAAACGTAGGTTTTTAGAATATATGTGATTAAGTGGATAAGATATGTCTATCTTGAAAGTTTAGAAAAAGACGATCTTATTAATACTAACCAATTAAATAGGACAACTCAAAAGAAAACTTGACCCATAAATATTGTTCAAGTAGCATGAATATCCATGCTACGCACGATACTGATATTATTGAAAAAAATAAAAAGTGGGGGTGAATCAAAAAAATTAATTAAAAAATCATACCAACCTAATTAAAATGTAAGATTTGTCTAGCTATAGGTCGAAGTATAATAAAATGTGTGCATCATTCAAAAACTGCCTACCTCCATTTTCTTGAGAATTAAGAGTATGCGAAATTCAAAATTAGTGTATTTTTTACATAGTTTATAAATAGTATTATAAAAAATACATATGCATCAAAAAATTCTACTTTCCTTTGCAATTCTCTAAGATAAGAAGCATTACAATAAAATACGAATCGTGCGTGTCTGTCTTGTAGATTAAGATGTAGGTTACCACCGAAATCTCCGATTTGTATATTACTATTTCACCTGTTTGAAAAGGAAAAGTCATATATAGGACAAAACAATATGTTGAAGTTAAAGGTACATGAAATTAATTACGTAACAATAGTGTCGACCACGTCATTACAATGCATACGCACTGTTTTTGTAAAATGACCTTCACATGGCTGTCTGTCCGCAATTTTTGCATAGCTCATAGAATATGTTTTCTATGTCAATGCTATGAATGTAATCAAGTATTTGGAAATATTTAACCTAGTAAGAATGAAAGAAGATATAGGTTATGATTATGAATTGAAAAATTTGTTCAGTAATTAATTAAAGTGGAGTAATTTTACTATAGGCATGATTTTGAATTTAGGCGCCGTTGAAGTATTTGTAGGTGGGATTCGTCCATGGTAAAAGTATGATAGGTAGCGTTTTTTTCTTATTATATTTGGTTTTTGTGGATGACAAATGAGAATAAAATGAGTTAGCGATTGTCAATTTTTGTGAATAATTATGAAAACAAGATACGTCATATATGTAGAAATGTGGGAATTATAGAAATTGCAATTCAAATGGGCTCCTTAATTTTTGATAAGTGATTTTCATAGTGATGAATTTATTATCAGTTAGTTTTACTATTAGTTGTGTGATAAAGTGTCAGATGTGATTTTCGATATATTGAAGTTAAAGGTACATGAAATTAATTACGTAACAATAGTGTCGACCACGTCATTACAATACATACACACTATTTTTGCAAAATGACCTTCACATGGTTGTCCACAATTTTTGCATAGCTCATAGAACATGTTTTCTATGTTAATGCTCTGACTGTAATCAAGTATTTGAAAATATTAGTAAGAATGAAATAAGATATAGGCTATGATTATGAATTAAAAAATTTGTTCAATAATTAATTAAAGTGGAGTAATTTTATTATTGGCATGATTTTGAATTTAGGCGTCGTTGAAGTATTTGTAAGTGGGATTCGTCCATGGTGAGAGTATGACAGGTAGTGTTTTTTTCTTATTATATTTGGTTTGTGTGGATGACAAATGAGAATAAAATGAGTTAGCGATTGTCAATTTTTGTGAATAATTATGAAAGCAAGATACGTCATATATGTAGAATTGACATTGCATTTTAGGAATTAAAATAAATAGAAAATCTACGAAAAAGGAAATGAGATTTTGGAGGTTTAACAAGGCTTCTAACTAAAAATTCTGCAATTTATATTGATACATTGATTAAAAAAACATAAATAATACATGTAGAAGTCAAAATGGATGTTGAAGATAAAGAAAAATGAATTCACAATAGTAATAGTAATTTTAAATTAGTGTAAATCCATAACCAAAAATATATGTGGATCAGAAAATTCCTTTTTCCTCTCAAATTTTAAAGTCTGTGTATCATCAAGTTGTAAGGATTTGAAATAATTTAAATTTTGAAATGATGAGAATATAGTCTATAATCATGATTTCGCAATCAACTCATTACATTTTAGGAATTAAATAAATAAATTACTCTACAAAAAAGGAATTGAGATTTTGGAAGTCTAGAAAGGCTGCCACTAAGAAACCTTTAAGAATTTATATAGATATATGTAAATACGGTAGGGTATTATTGTATGGGAGGAAAATAATGTATGGTATTTGGTATTTAACGGTGGGAATGAACTGAAATACTGAATGGTTTGGTCATTAATTAAAGAATGGTTGGTTGGGTGAATATTAAAGTGGTATGTTGCATGAAGACGGTGGGGGCGTAGTAGGGAAACAGCAGACGAGGTGGAGTAGGATTAGGAGTCCTCCTGTGTCATTAGATTGGACGGCTTTTGCATTTCTATCCATCCTAGTCCTGCTGCCACCACAACTCTAACAGGTCCAGTGTTGTTGTTCAATATCAATACCTGGGACTTGGTGTGTTGGGTCTCTCCAAGTCCGGGCAGACTGGGACTGGGACTGGGAGTCTTCTTCTTCTTCATCAGGTGGTTTGGTCTTTGCTGGTCCTTTAGTTTAGCATTCAACGGTGGACCAAAAAATTCGCTTGGTTGGTTGGTGGGTGGGTGGGATCCCTCAATTCCAGGTTGGATTTTGTTTCTCCCGAGATTCATTCTCCTTCACGAATCACAACTAGTATAGGGTTACTCTTGTGAGGTTGAGTTTTAATTACTTACCAATTCTTTTCTGTCTCTTCTTCTTATTTAGTAGTTACTTGCCTGGATGGTAGCAGGTATTGTCGCCGTCTGCCGCAATATATATCTACTAATTCCGACTCCCTGGGATTCTGGTCTAATCTTACCTACCCATTGAAAAGATTCAGAATCGCCAGAGGAGTCGGGAAACAACACAGGAGGGACATGGCCTCTCAGGATCATCATGATGATGACGGTACTGATGATGCCTCAGCCGCCTCGGCGGCGGCGGCGGTCAACCCATCCATAGAGCAAGTTTTCAAGAACATGGAGGTTCCTCCGTGGCGGAAGCAGATCACCTTCAGGTCCGTCTTCACCAGCGCCGTTCTCAGCTTTGTCTTCAACGTCGTCGTCTGCAAACTCAACCTCACCACCGGTGTCATCCCTTCCCTCAACGTCGCAGCTGGTTTGTTGGGTTTTGGTTTCGTCAAGTTCTACACCTCCCTCGTCCAAAAATGCGGCATGTTGAAGCAGCCCTTCACCAGACAGGAGAACACCGTCATCCAGACCTGTGTCGTCGCATCCTCTGGCATTGCTTTTAGCAGTATGTATACGCATATGCACGTATCCCCATTCTCATATGTTCGTTAGTGTTTTTTTTTTAAAAATTAAAAAAGAAAAGAAAAAGAAATCAGCAACCTGTTCATAAATCGGATAGTGTGAAAATTATGCATTTTTGGAGCAGTGCGAATGAATGAATGAATGTTACTCAGGTGGAACTGCAAGTTATATGTTGGCTATGAGTTCGAGGGTGGCTGCTCAAGCAGATGTTGGAAATGCCCCGATCAACGTCATGAAACTCGAACTTGGATGGATTTATGCATTCCTCTTTGCTGTCAGTTTTATTGGGCTCTTCTCAATAGTGCCCCTCAGAAAGGTGATCATTGATTAAATTACACACACACACACACAGTCCTTGCATATTATGTCATTGTTAATTTGGTTTCTCCAACTTATACACATGTAATTAATTAAATTAAATTGGAGTAATATTGACTACCGTACTGCATCTTCACCTTTGACCAGATGATGATTATGAAGTACAAATTGACATATCCCAGCGGCACTGCAACCGCATTCCTCATCAACAGCTTCCACACTCCCAAAGGAGCAAAGTTGGCTGTGTATGTGATATCTATCCTATACTCCCATATACTACTATATACTACAAAACGAACTCTTTTCTTTCTTTTTTGACCCTGACCCAACTGTTTTCTCGATTTATTTGTGAAAAAGTACCAAGACGACTGTATATATTATCAGCCACAGGTTGCCTATGTTTTCAACACCAAAACATAGATTAGGCACACATTGAACTAACTGTCTGACAATTACTTTTTAAATCAATTTGTGTACAAGCTTACGTAGTATATATACTAACCTTTCGAATTATTTGTTTACGTAGATGAACATTAAGACTATTCTTACTTCTGACGCAGGAAACAAGTTAGAGCTCTTTTCTACTCCTTCGGTGGTAGCTTCTTCTTTGCATTCTTTCAATGGTTTTTTGCAGCGGGTGATGGTTGTGGATTCAGTAGCTTCCCTACCTTCGGTCTAAGCGCCTTCAAGAAGAGGTAGTCTTCTCTTCTTTGCATGTTCCACCTATTTTAACTTTAGAATTTTAGTAGTTGCATGAGTTTCAAGAAGAGGTAGTGTTGCATTACTTTAGAGAGGTTTCTATTTGCCATTAAGTCATTTATCTAGTAGTTAAGGTTGATATTCTAAAATTAGAGCTTTGGGGTTTAAATCTCATTTTCTTTCTCGTTGTCTCTGCTTCTTAAATCGCACCACTTCTTGTTTAAATTTTTTTTTAAAAATGTGAGAGATTTCTATTTTATTCTAAGGTCTTATCTAGTTCTTATATTCAATGGAGTTGACACTTTTTTTTTTTTTGTTATTTTCCCTTTAACTATGAAGAATTGGCATTTCCCTTTTTTTTTTTAATCTCTTTCAATTTTCCTTAAACAATACCTAAGAGTATGTCTAAGCCAATAGACAAATAAACATGTTTTAAATAAGATAGCATTGTTTTGAAATTATGTTTGTAAAGATTTCATCTTTATGTTGGATGCTCGATCGCCATATGATGATATAAGGATTAAGAGAGAGAAGTTTGTTAGGCTTTTTTTTTTTATATATATATATATAATTTCTCATCCATTTCAGTTGGTGTTGTGATGATTTGATTGATACATAGAGTTTTACTGATATCAACTTCAGGTTTTATTTTGATTTCTCATCCGTTTACGTGGGTGCTGGGATGATTTGCCCATACATGGTCAACATTTCACTGCTAGTTGGAGCCGTTCTCTCTTGGGGGATAATGTGGCCATTGATTGAGCAAAAGAAAGGCAGCTGGTACAGTGCCGATCTAAAGCCAACCAGTCTTCATGGAATCCAAGGATATAGGGTATGATCGTCACGATACAAATTCTTCTCCTTTTTTTTTTTTCTGTTAATACTTTTCCTTTATTCGAGAATATGCATGTCAGGGTAAGTTGATCCACATATACTACTAGGTAGAACTAGTTATGTCGGGCAGCCTGAATATCTTGCAGTATATATTTGCCTTAATCTCGAGTGTTGCTTTTCCCCTTATTATTATCATTATAAATTTTTTATGAATTCAGGTATTCTTGGGCATTGCTACCATGCTTGGAGATGGTCTCTTTCATGTGGTATACATGGTCGTCGTGACGACCGCAAGCTTCCTGGCTCGGAAGAGGTCGGGTCCAAAAGATTCATCAACAGTTAAACCGGACGAAGATGATGAATCATCTGATTCACAGCTTGCAAACTACGACGAGAAGCGACGGAGAGAATATTTCTTGAAGGACCAAATCCCAAATTCTGGAGCCGCAGTAGGTTATGTTGTTCTGGCAGTACTGTCTATGATAGTGGTACCCATAATCTTCCAAGGACGACTGAAATGGTATCACATATTGGTGGCATATCTGATTGCTCCTGTTCTGGCCTTCTGCAATGCCTATGGCTGCGGTCTCACCGACTGGTCGCTTGCCTCCAACTACGGCAAAATCTCCATCCTCGTCTTCAGTTCTTGGGTTGGTCTTGATCACGGTGGAGTTGTTGCTGGGCTCGCTGCCTGCGGTGTCATGATGAATATTGTGTCAACAGCTTCGGATCTGATGCAGGATTTCAAGACGGGCTATTTGACGCTTGCATCGCCCCTCACCATGTTTTTAAGTCAAGTCATTGGTACTGCAATGGGCTGTCTGATGACCCCTGCGGTTTTCTGGTTCTTCTACAAGGCGTATCCCCTCGGGGATCCCGATGGAGCTTATCCTGCACCTTATGGCTTGATGTACCGTGGGATCGCACTTCTTGGAGTCGAGGGTTTCTCTTCCCTTCCTAAGAATTGCCTGAAATTGTCCATCATGTGCTTTTTCGCTGCCATTGCCCTCAACATCTTGTCTGAGGTCTTGAAGCACACCGAGAAGAAATGGAGGATCTACAGGTTCATTCCGATTCCCATGTGCATGGCCATCCCATTCTACCTCGGAGGATACTTTGCAATCGACATGTGCGTGGGAAGCTTGATTCTCTTTGTGTGGGAGTGGAAGAAAAAACAGCAGGCCACAGTATTTGGACCGGCTGTGGCATCCGGCTTGATTTGCGGGGAGTCTTTGTGGTCAGTTCCTGCAGCTATACTTGCTTTGGCAGGTCTCAACGCTCCTATTTGCATGAAATTTACCTCTGCTTCTGCCGCCTGAACCCTGATCAATTGGCGACAACTACTTACTACTCTAGATGAATTTGGTCAAGTTGTACATAGTTTTTCTTTTTTCTCGTCCCCATTCCTTTTAATTTCTAGGTTTCCTTGCTGGGCAAGGAGATAAGTTGAAGTTACTTTTTACTAGCTAGCTTTGGAAGCTTTATTGACTGTGAAGAGCAGTATACATTCATCTAACTATTAGCGTTATTGGTGACATAATTCAAGCAGAAATTGATGTTTAGATATGGTTTATTTCCACTCTTTTCCACATGATTTCTCAAGTTCCATCGGATTCTCCTCGGCCCTTGAATTTTCTTGAATCCTGTCACATGAAAATCGTTGAAACCACAAATTGGAGAACCAAATTGACCATAGAGCTCCAAAAAAAAGGGTTACATATCACAGGAATCTGAACCAAAACACCGGACATGGTGCCTTTGCCGTTGCCTATCGTGAATCTTTCCCTCTCTATGTCCTTTCAATCGCGGGGTCTCTCTAACTGGTTTTGTTAAATTGTGGAGGCGCTCGATTTAGTTTGAAGGAAAATAACTTCAGTAAGTGGTGGACTAGGTACAAGTAAAATATTTTCCTCAGAAATTATTGTCCTCTGAGTTCAAGGATTTATGCAGAAGTTTACCTCATTTCTGCCAGGCATGATTGGCCTTCCTACAAACATCTCCCCTAGAAGACATCCCAATGCCAACTCCATAATCAGTAGAACCCAGAAGAAGTTCTGGAGCTCTATACCATAATGTTACAACTCGGCTTGCTAGAGGCCACTTCGGTTTAGGCCGATAGAAGTTAGCAAGTCCAAAATCTGCGATTTGAAGCATTCTATCTTTATCGATTAGCAAGTTAGATGCTTTAACGTCCCTGTGGCAATGCTGTAGACCTGAGAGCAGCTGCTGCAGCATGTAACTCTTGACCTGCATCAAGAAATATTTAAGTGCCCAATTTCATGAACAAGATATTCTTAATTCTCTTAATTAGGAAGAATGAATATATCCCACTATCCCAGTCCTGTCATATTCTGTTTCACATTCTGTTTGTGTACTAGTAACTTTTTGACGAGTAATAGTCATTCATTCTTTCTGTAATACAAATTTTTTCAGAACCATGCCTTGTAAATTTTCCAAGTAATATACTGGGAGAACGTTCACTTTAAATATTAAAGTTGTTTATATGGCTCCAAAAAGCTACCCCCAAAAAAAAAAAAAAGAAGTTTCTGATGATAACTTGAGTTGCTAAATGCAGATTATCCGACCTGTGGCTCTGGAAGCCTTCCTTCGGGGCGAGATATGATTCTGGTCAAGTCTGACTGCGTGAAATCAAAGACCAAATAAAGACTATACTATATTCTTGAAGTGGCCAATCCTTCAAGCTTAATAACATTAGGGTTTGATGGTTTCTCTTGCCATAAACTTCACACTCTCTGGTTCTGATGTATCGAAACGGATCTTTTCTAGGGCAACTATTTTTCCATTGTCCCTATCTAGAGCTTTATACATGCGCAGAGGCCAAACAACGGAAAAACGTTATTCATGATCTTTTCTGCTCCTTCATAGCAATTTTGTAAACAACCATCCATCACCTTCAAAGATGAATGGGTAGATATGAACAGACCTTGTACTGTAGTACACTTTGTTTCTATTAGAAAATCATGCTTGAAGAAATATAAAATTAAAATATAGCCACACTCAAATGTCCAGGAACTAGAAAGTAACACAGTAATGCCATTTTACTTGAAGAGGACAAAAGTTAGCAACTTTACATGTAAAAGACAGCACTGTACAATAAATGAAGCTTATATTGAAGAAAAACACCATTTTAGTCTTGATTCTTGAACAAATGAAACTCAACTTCCATATTTTATTTTTCTCTGCTATACTGACCTTTGCAAGTTTATCATAAGAATCAGCACTCTATGGAACCAAGACAGCAAGGACATCTCTAGGAATGTTATCAACAAGCCATTTAGGCCATCCTTCAATGAAATCATCCCAGCAATCTGCTTAATACTAATCCTCGGCGAAATATTCCCACCATGATCACCTTCTTTCTCACCTTCTCTACTGATTTTTCTATCTTCTCCACCCTCCATTTATCCCACCAGCCACCTTCTCAGCATTGTCTTGAGGCCTCGAATCCCTCTTCAAATCCTTAATATGCACTACTTTTGAACCAACAACAATAACTCTCTGTTCGCGCCACTATTGCCAAAATAACTTCAGTAAGCGGACTAGGTAAGTTGTTTTCTATCCTTTTGAAGTAAAATATTTTCCTCAGAACTAGGTAACATATCTAATACACTAACCAGTCAACTACATCTAAAGGTTTTAGCAGGCCAGTAGCTTTTTCTTCAAGGATTATAGCATGCAGTCAATACAAAGCCAGAAAAGACCAATCAAAAACTAGATACAAACCAAGGGTAGACTCAGCTATTTATACCAATTTAACCCGATAATTAAACAGTGACAACATATAAGTCACAGCACAATTAACAATAACATGACAAGATTAAGACGAATTCAAGCTTCTAATTGTTCATTACGAGAACACCTGCCAGATCTTCAGGTGTCATGATTTCAACAGTCAAACAGAAAGGCACCGAAATAAACAAAACATGGTAGGAAAACTCTCTCAAAAAGGACAGTAGAGCTTTTTTTCTCTAAGAAAAGTGTTGTACCAACCAAGAAGAAAAATACCAAACCTTCTCAAGTGTCATGCATATCTCTGTGAAATCACCAGGAGCTATCCTTTTGGTAGATGCAAGTTTGGTTAACTCTGCAATAGCTTCCTCAATCTGTGAACAGTCTGCAAATCTCTGAAATATCAATAAATACATATAAGCCCTAATAACATTTATCTTCAATCATGTACTATAAAAGTTAGGAACGAAAACCTTAGGAGCTCTCATCCACCATCGCAGAGAAGAGTCAAATAGCTTATATGAGCTTCTCTATCATCAATGAAAAAGCTTTGAGGTATAACAACCTATAAATCAATAGTCCATACAGATGGCCCAGTGGCAGATGAACAAGGCTACTTCCAAAAATACGTTTTTGTGAACATACAATGCAGATGACCGTAGAAGTAACTACAGTATGAAAAGTCATAACCAAAAGTCACATGACATGTTTTCTTGTCCCTATTGCGGCTGTAATTGAAGTACTTGCATGAACTTCTATGATGTCGAATAGAGTTGATTTCAAAAAGTAACAATCCATACCTTATTCTGCTTCCAACTCTTTTTTTCTTAAAAAGTTACACAAAATAAACCATAAATACAAAGAGCAAAAGCTAGAAATGCTGTCTTTGACTTCTACAATGAATATATGTGCGCAAATGAACTTCATGCGACTAAAAATAGAAAGGAATTTTAAGATAGCACTTCATCTGAAGTTTGTAAAAGTAGTATCTCTGATTCTAGTTGGGATGATTTCGATGAGTATATAAGAGAATTTCACACTGTAGCACCTCAAGAATCTGAATTGCTCAACTATTTGGAAAAGGGTCCCAGATTGATGCAAATGCGCCTCAACATGATTTTGATTGTTTGGGTTGGTGAAAGAATAGCAGGATGACATAACCAATATTATCAAAGATGGCAATTGATGTCCTTGCTATTCCCATTACTACAATTGCTTCTAAGGCTACATTTAGCAATGGAACAAGAATGATCGATTCATAATTTCATATAGAGCAATGGAACAAGAATGATCGATTCATAATTTCATATAGAGCCTCACTAGCTCCTAGAAACAGTGAAAATGTTGATGTGTGTTGAAGATTGGTGCCGAAACCTTCATGGAGTCAAAAAGAAGATGAAAGTAAATTTATTTCAAGTTCAAGTTACTTATTTAATTTTTTTTAGTGTAGAAAGTGAAAACAACAAAAGAAATTTTACTTCATATCAAATGAATCTGATAGTTCAAAGGTGCATATCTTGTGTACGCTTTTAATTTGAATGTCTTGTTTTAGAATTTAGCATTTTTTGTACACTGTAACATAGCATCACTGTTATTTAATTACTTAAAATGTTCCACATTTTAGAAGCAAATTTTGAATGCATAGTTTTGGTCCTTTTGGAAAAAGATCATGCCGGAATTCTGGAAAGGTGCATGCTGTTGTTTGATTGATGAAGTTGAACTTGATTTTAAGTTTGACTGTTTCTTGACATTGACTATTGAAGACTTTAAGTTGAAACTTTGAACTAATTTTGTTTGTTTTATTTGTATAAGACCTGATGAATGATTGGTGATTCTACCATGTTTACTAGGGGGATGCGTGGGTGTTTGGTGCCTGTGTGATGCCCCCACTTCTTCTAAGAGTGAACCCAAGGGTATCCATGGAACGCCTGCCCAACTCTCGCCGGGATTCACTACAATCCGTAATCCAAAAGTTAGAAATACTTCAAATATTTTCAATATACATTGAAAGAACTCCAAAACACAATTAGTTAACCTTCAAACTTAATACAACTCAAAAAAATATGTACTACAGTCATCTGCTATACTACAACTTAAAATCTCCAAAAGAAAACAATTTAGTACTATTCGCGAACACTCTCGGTCTTGAACCCTGTTAAGGAAAACAAAAGCATGGAATGAGCTAAACAGTCTAGTGAGGTTTCAAAATACACTAGCATTTCTAATAAATCAAGTAAATTGAGTATAACGCACATATGGTTCAAGATTGCACATTGGCACATTAGAATGAAACAGTTATCATTGTACAGAAATAAACACACATTGAAAGGATACGGTGTTCACTTGGAACGATTTCAGTCCACTTCACCTTATAACTCCAGTGATCCCCTCGGTTTGTCTGGTCATCACCTTATCCCTCCAGTGGTAATACTCGAGTATACCGAAACGGTGGCCCAAGGTTCCAACCTACCCGACCAAACCCAGTCCTGGGTCGAGCAGGTTAGTAACCAAGGACAGGATCCAGTTCAGCTTAGAGCTTACAACATGCGCAAGTAATCAAGTAAATCGATAAACGGTAGTAGTTCATGATTAACGGTAAAAATTTATGGTTAAACAGTAAAAATTTGTCATTTTAGTAGGTCGAGTGAGATAAAGTACACACTTGTCTTAAAACGGTGGACAATTTCATAGTAGCAATTATAGCTAGCACTTAACACTTAAACACACAATAACTATGAAGTAAACATGTAGCAAAACTGTTCAAGTCACGTACACCTATAAGGAACACTCACCAATTCAAAATAAGGAATAAGTGCTCAAACAAGCATTTAAGCATCCGCTTTGAGATCCTCTTGAAGGTCCCCTTGAGCGTCTGAACAAATAATAATTGGCTATCACACACTATCACTTATAAACCCCTTGTCAACCAGGAAGATTGTACACTTGTACAATACCAAGAAAATGTCATGAAAGAGAGCCTTAATTACTTGAAAATCGAGACTCGAAAGTGGGGTTTAATAACACGAAAAAAATTGATTTCCTCCATGAAATCAAGTTTAAAACTTTCAATCAATATTAAAGGATAGGGAAGAGTTTCCAAAAACTCATTTCCCATCGAGTCGGAAAATTTCAGTTTTGCACATCAAATTTAGAAAAATCAGAACTTGCACTCAGTAGGTACAAAATTGAAAAATTTATACCGTTGGAATCTTGGTTCGGAGTACTAAAAGTTCGTAGAAGACACTTTTCTAAGATTCTAAACGGAAAACATCCAAATTTCAGCTCAAAGTGGCTGCTCTGAACAAGCAAGACAGTTTCAGTTATGTTTTTCGGCAAACTTTGGAAATTCGGCAAAATTCACAGAAAGTGAACTAGCCTCTGAAATTCATAGCACAATATGAATTCCAAACAAGGTTTCGAACACGAAAACGGAACTAAATTCGGAGTCATGAGTATCAAGATATAGTAGTTCAAAATCAGTAACTTTCACCATTGAAACAGTGAAATTTCCAGATTTGACAAACAAACTTTGGAACATCATTTGGGTATTAAAATAATCTTAGAATAACACCAAATTTGGTACAATTCAATTTCCATATGAGAAATACTCCTCTATCAAATTTCAAGTAAAAACTTGTACGGGAAGATAGTTAACAAACTACCAAATTTCAGGAAACTCTTAAAACAAATCTGTCTTCTTGCTTTCTTTTCCTTTTCAAACATTTTGCCCAATCAAATCAACTCCCATTCTATCCATTTTTGAAACCAAGGTTTTAAGAACACTTAATAAGCATTTGACAAGCAATGGACATCAAGATTTTCGAAACAAAACGTCCCAAATCAAATCTAACCAGTCGGCTAGCAAGAAGAAAGGGTTTTCCAGATTTGAAAAGCTATCTTTGAAGTGTTATTTAGCCATCGAAATGGCATTGAAAATACACCAAACTTGGTACACTAAACGGTGGTGAACTATATGTGATCAAATCATCTATGTGTGAACTATATCTCTATCAAATTTCACGCAAAAAATCACGTGGTAAAATGGTTAACAAATAGCCAAAGTTCGGGAAAATTTCAAAGCAAATCTGCTGTCCGTGGTTCTCTTTCCTTTTCAAAAGTTTTGTCCCACACAATCAACCTTTCGAAACAAAACATTCCAAAACAAGTTTGACCATTCGGCCAGCAAGAGAGAAGAAACTTTCCAGTTTTCCAGTTTTGCTGCAATTTAAAAATCAGGCCATATCTCACTCTATACAAGCTCAAATTAAGAATGGTTGGTGGTGTTGGAAACTCGGTTCCAAAAGCTATATTTCATCAGAAGAAATCATTTCCAAAATCAGTTCACAAGTAGTTCGAATTCAAGCCACAAGTTGCAGCTTTTCATCTCTATTCGAATGAACAAGCTGAACAGAACAGTCGACTTTATCAGTTCACTGCAGTTCACACAAAACGAACTAGACAGTGATTTTTATACTGTTTTAAAGCTAAGAATGTCTAGTTTCAAATGCCGTAAACGACACTCAATTTTGACTTTTGTACAAAGAGTTATGTTCAATCACAGATACACTGTTCAGGCCTTCGGATGACCATTTCCAGATTTCTTGCAGTTTCATAAATCCAAGTTTTGCTCAACCAAATCAAATGATTTTTGGTAGACATTTTATACACACCA